ACGTATTAAATTAATCCAAACTGCTCGCGATGTCACAGGCTGAAAGATAACGACATTATCATCGAACAGAATAGCAAAGAGTAGTATGGAGATAAATTCTGACAACAAAAGTGGGGTTAATGTATTCGGATTTATCGTTTAACCCAAGAATCTTCGTTCGGACCAACGTATTCAGGATTGAATTTTTAATATTTCATAAACGTTCTCAGCTTCTCGAAAATGGAAGATATTTTTGGTGACATAAATATTAAAAGAACTTTTTTTTTATTTTCGAATCACTTGTAGCCCGCGCAACGTTAATGTATCTCACAGAAATATTGATTTTGTTATCTTTCGTGCATAAAACGGGGAGTCACCGAAGTGTTTCAAATCTTTGAGGAGGTGACATTATGTGTAGGTGATGGGAGTCTTTTTCTTTTCTTTTCATAAACCAAGGTATAAAATTCCTCATTTTAAAGTGTTGGTTTCTTTTCCTTGGGGTCCAAACACAATCCCCAAAATTTTGTTCTCGCCCACCGAATGTCTTTTGTTTCTAGAAGTTACAAACCAAAGTACAAAGTATCTGCACGCATCTTGGATATTGAATGGTCTTAGTTGATCCAAATAGCTTTGATGAAGACTTTCAATGTCTTGAACTAAACTAAAAGCCTTTATTCCGAGACGAGCCAAATAACAGAACACAGATGAAGCTTACTATAGACCAGTGGTGTTCAACCTGGGGTACGCGAAGACATCTTAGGGGGTACGTGAAATTATATTAAAAAATATATATTATTTTATGATAAACACTGAATAATCAGTAATGTAATTTATTTAATTTATTTTAGATGTAGATTATATACTATGTATAACTTGAATTATACACCAACAACTTTGGGGGTACAAAGTTGAAGAGAAATTATATCTGGGGGTACGCGAACATAAAAGGTCGAATACCACTGCTATAGACAACACGCTATGACACTCCCTCTATTAATGTCACTAAAAACAACGTTATTTTTGGTATTTATATTCTAGTTTTTAATTTTTTCATCAGGGACAATTTCGAACAGAGGGCCCTGACATCATGTTCTGTATTATAAATTATTTGGTTCTTTAAGTGCCTGAGCCCTGCGGGTCCCAACTTTTCGTTGGCTCGTAATGTTAATATTGTTTGGTTGTGTAAATTAAAATTAATCAAAGTCGATTGGGTAAGCTGTCAAGATGGAGGTTGTGCGAGATAGTCGCGAAAACCTAACCTAACAAACGTTTGAGAATTAAAAAAAATGTTTTATATTCTAACCTAACCTAACAAAAGTTTTGAGAATTAAAAAAAAGTTTTATATTCTAACCTAACCTAACAAAAGTTTTGAGAATTAAAAACAATTGTTTTGTATTCTAACCTAACCTAAAAATAAAATAAAACTGTATAAATCGTATAATAGAAACTTTGTTATATACTAAGTTTATATATTTGTTATATACATTGCGTAAAAGTTCTAGGCATTTTATAAAATGCATGGGCATTCCATAGAATGCCTAAATTTCATACTTTGCCTACTGACTTTAGGCATTCTATACATCGCCGGATTTCATTGTTTACATTAGACTGCAATTCATTTGTTGTGTTAATAAAAAGATAAGTGGGTTTAGAAAAAAATGAACAAATCTTATAATAAATACGATACGATATGATTTTTATTTCAACTTCTAGCATTCAGAATTCAGAATTTGCAAAGAACATTTGAGTGAAAATTGTGTAATCCGCTTTGGTATTGTTAACTAAAAGTTCTTTATTGAGGGGAACAGTGACGTAGACAATTATTTTCGGGCTAAAAAAAATATGTCACGGTCGGTCGTGTTTCTTACTCGGACGGCTCCTAGTTCGATGTTCGACTCGTACGTCGGCTATTCTGACTGAAGTTTCTTGTGACCCTCCAGACAAATGCTCAGACAGCCAAGAACGCATTATCTAACGTCCTTCATAAGTCATTGTTCGCAAACATCGGCCTTTGTAATCGTGAGATGTCATTAAATAAAGAAATAAAATTGGCCTGAGTATAAAACATGGCAACGGAACAAAGTAAGTCTTGTTTACAGCATTTTTTCTGATTATGCCGTACTAATGTGAGGATTAAGTAGAAATTCAGAGGGAAAAATAAAGAAAATTGACGAAAAATACTTTTTAATTGTACGTGATATTCTATACGTTTTTGAACCATAGCCAAGTTTATTTAATCTTGATTTGTTACGCAAGAAACTGGCGTTGCAAATTTATGACCTTGAAGTTGATGAAAAAAGTTGCTGTAGCCTCGCCTGGAATCAAGAATGATCTCTGGTAATCAAAGGCAGGATTTATGTAATTAATTGAATGGATCACAATTACTATTAGTTCAACTGTCGACATGTTGACATTAATGAGTTGTGGAAACTTGTAATCCACTGTCAACTACTATTTTACCAAATGCGTAATTATAAATATACTTTTAAATAAATATTGTAGACGGGGGTAATTAACAGCAGACTGAATAAAACACGCACATCGTATAGAAAAATGTCTTCTGTAAATAGATCTTCACAAGTTTTATTTATTTTAAAATGAAGTCTCTTTTTTTTTAAAAAAATCTTTGATAATTTTGATTTTGACAGAACTTGTATAATAGAATTTTGTACGTTTTGCAAAAGGATTTTTCATATTTATTTTCACGTGTATAATCGAATCCGCGTTGTACAAACCAACAATTAAGGAGGTTTTACTGTACCTGCCTGAATTTACTAACGTCAATGATATTTCTAGTAAAAGTTTTCGATCTTAAATGAGAAGTATATGTGCCATGTAAAATTTTTTGTACGATCATCCGTTTTAGGGAAAATCAATTTCTGTTTGCCCTTGTCATGTATAAGCATGGACCAAAAATCTCTTTGCTCGACAACATTTACATCCCAAAAAGAAATTTTTAATATAATTTCGTTGGGTAGTTTCAGAAATAAAATATGTGGGCACATAGAAGATCATGACCTCCCATGTATGCGTTCACTTTCTGTAAGAACGTGTAATAATGCTTGTCGCCTATGGCGCGAAAAATCTCGGAATTAACGAGACAGCATTCGTTTTACTTAATTATGCATTTAATTACGAGATGTTCAAGTGTTCAGATGTTTCGTTCAAATTACAGAACGTAATAGTTACTGTGAACTGAATGTAATTAGAGAGATACAGATCGAAGAATAAGGGGAAACAAGATAGTAGTTGAAGTAAGATAGGGAAATAGAAAATTATAAGAAATAAAAGGGGAAATCAGATAAATAAGGAATCAAAAACGAAAAGAGATTAAAGCATAGATAGATAACTAGAAAGAAATAAAAATACAAAATAAGAAAGAAATTTATTCGGAAAAGGAAAAAGGTGTGTCGGGGAAAAAATGGTATAGTTTATTTATTACAGAAGATTTAAATTTTGATAAATTTAAAAAAAGGCTGAATTAGCTTTGATTAATTGGCATTTTATGTTAATGGTCTTCTGGACTGTAACGCTGTGTGGACTTGTAAATAGATGCCAACATTTCAGCGCAAAATATTTTAAAATGTGGCCTGCATTTAATTTATTAATAACAATGTCCAACAAAATAATTAGTCTTCACATTACGAATTTTAAATGATATTTCTGGTAAAACAATTTAACTTTAAAAGACGCACGAAACAAAACACTTATTTTATTTACGATAAATACAACAGATTTCCTGATTATTCGGGGTCTATCTGGTTTAAACGAAAATTAAAAATTAATTTTAAAAAATGTTTCGAAAGTTAGAACGTTCAAAAATAAAGGATAATAAATAAAATAATGACATTATTTAACGCATCAACATAAATAAATTGTTGCTAAAACGTGAAGTTTATGACAATAGAATGTTATTTGTAATTTTTTAAAGATTTCCTTAAATAAACTTTGCATATTTATTAAATTTGAGTGTTTTTATTTCATTCTTGAGGATTATCTGGGGTTTTGATTATGCGGGAAAATGTTTATCTTCCAACCGACCGCGATAATTATGAGTCTTTTGTAAATATGAAATTCGTGTATTCGAAAGTGCATCTTTAATTTTTTTTAATTTTTTTTTACGTAAACTGCATTCTGGGTTGATTTGTCACATGACAATGATAGGTGTTAATGATAAAATAGCAGTATGGACGGACGGACGCCTAGGATAGAAATACGTAACTCGCAGGTTCAGGTGAAGAACCTGTGTGGGTTTGTTAGATGTCGGCCTTGTAAGGTAGCAACAGATGTCTGACGAAGGAAGACTCAGGACACCTGTTGAGCTAGCCTTGGGTTGTTGAACACATCGTACATTACCGCCGCGATGAAACGTATAACGAAACTGTATTCACCTAAAACAACGCTCGTTATTATAATTTTAATATCTGATCTCTGTTTAACGACGCTGTCCAACTTTCAGAGGTTAATTTGCGTCGACGTACACGGGAAGATTATTATTAAAGAGAAATCAGTTGAATTAACTTCGTCATGTGATTTTCAGTTTTGTTAAAAGTAGAACATTTGTCCACTTTGGTCTTCAGGGTGATTACGTCGAGAAGAATGAGATGGGCTGGGCATGTAGCGCGCATGGATGGGACAAGAGGTGTGCACCGGGTATTGGTTGGGAATCCTGAGGGGAAGAGACCGCTGGGGAGACCTAGACGTAGATGGGAGGATAATCTCAGGCGGGATCTATGGGAGATAGGAGTTGAAGGAGACTGGATTTTGTTGGCCCAGGACAGGGTCCGGTGGAGGGCTTTGGTTGGTTCG